CTGAAGGCTAATGAGCCACCGTCAACTGGTCAGGAATACGGAGCTACCGGATACAATTTGCGTTCACACCGACCCCGAAACACCGCTATAGACTTCGACGAGTTCGACCGACAACGCGAGATGAGTGAGCAGCGTAGATTGGCCGCCCTGTGGGCGAACGCCGCTCGCGAAATCGAAGCTGAAACARACAAACTCATAAACAATACCTACTTCCTGCGGGACCCGTCATCAGCCATCGAAAACAGCCCGCGTACCTCAATGGTATAAAGGACAGAAAAAGGCCTTGAATTTGTCGAGGTAAAATACCGAGAACTTAAAGAAAGCATGACGCACATCATCCAGGAATGCAGGATGCGGATGCAAGCTGACCGACAAGGACAGACACAAGATGATAATGTTTCCGTTGAGAGCTATGGTTCTCAAAGATCTCAACGCTCGACATCTTCCAAGGAAAGGCTGAAGGCTATGCTGATAGCAAAGAAAAGGCTAGAACTCGCGAAGGCACGTGAACAGGAAGAAGCTGAGATTGCCAGAATGATATACGAGAGAAACAGGAGGATAGGAATCAGGAAACTCGAAGAAGAGGTTGTCCTGGCAGAGCTTGAATGGAGAATTGAAAGCCAATACGAAGACGGAACAGACGAGATAGACAACATATATCATCCCATCGACTACAGCACCATCCCGCCAATTAACGCAACAACCCCTAGTGGAAATGCCGTAAGGTATAATGATCACAGAGATGTAACTTCTCGACGCTCTCCCCCACTGCTACTAAGAGAGGACCTACGTTACGCGGCAGAACAACAGATAGAACGGCCTGCCCCCAAACCGTCAATAAGACACGTGGGCGGAGCTACGACGACAGCGCCAGTACGAGTACCGAGGAATACCGAGTGCCGCAGGAGGACGCCATAGCGGCAATGTGGAAGATTCAGTTGCTGAATGGAATCAGGCCCACGCCGTTTAGCGGTAAACCTTCGGAGTTCCCCTTCTTTCGTGCTCAGATCGAAAATCATCTTGAGGGTGATCTGCTCACTGACGCTCAGAGAGTGGAATATCTCCCTAAGTTCCTGATCGGAGATGCCCTCGAAGTCATGAAAAGAAACAGGGGATGCTCCTGTGAAACGATTGTGCAAATACTGGAGGAACGCTTTGGACGACCTGTACAGGTCGCCCAGCACTACATCGAAGAACTAGTATCCGGCCCGAAGCTTGGATATGGGAACAAAGCCCTCCTCAACTTCAGCGAGAAACTCATCGCCGCTCATCAAACTCATCAACTGCAGTTTACAGCGACCTGGTCATGGTTCGGATAGCTGCCCTGCACCACCATCTTGTAAACTTTGTTCGGGACGTCATTTGGACATCCTACATGAGGATCGCAAAGCCCCAAGCAATAAACCTGCCCGCACAGCCAACAACTCTGTCGGAATGTCTAGGGAGAAGTCACCTGTTCGTATAGCAAATGAAACCACCCCTGCCAGAAAGGAAGTGAAGAACGATGTGAAGAAGGCGGACGCGAGTAACTCCTCTCCCTCTGTCGACTATAATGGAGCGTCCACCGAAAAAACGTCTGTGCTGCTAAACGTAGTTCCAGGAAATCTAGAATTTTGTTGAATGTATTATCATCTGGATGCATCAAATCAAAATTAAATGTTTACTTTTCAGATACCAGCAATTGGCCGACCAACATCAATACCTGTAAATCGGCAATACTCAAATTCAACATCACCAAGCCTTATTTCAAAGTCAAACGAGTCATATCTGCCGACCTTCGCGTTTATAAGATGAACCGGACTCAATCTACAGCTTCATCAACTTCTTCCATACTCAATGTGCTCCTAATCGATCCCAAATCAAAGCCATATAATGCTGCGGGCTTAACGGCCATTGGATATCCAGTAACTTTACATTTCCAAGGTTGGGAGTCTTTTTCTATTACACCAGGTTTTGAAATTTGGCTCAGAGATGCGTCAACCAACCATGRTCTACTTTTGTCAGGCGAAGACCGAGGAGAGCCATCGAAAAACCAAATAGTTACTCCTTTACATCCTAACATGCTAGGCTTTGTTGGTTTTGAAGGACCCAAAGACAAGCGTCCGTATACATTAGTTAAGTATGAAAAGAAAAGATTGCAAAATGATCATGAAGATGATGGCGATGACGAACATTCTACTTAGGCTAATCAGTTTTATCTACCGATACTCTCATCTGACAAGACAAAAATAGTATATAGCTCCGATAGGGAGTGATACGTCATCTAGTGAAATAATCTACGTTTAAGCTGAAAATATCTCTCACTAATTAATCGATGTAGTATCTATAAAGGGGCGGACCCAAGAAAGGGAAGCAGGGGGTGCGAACCCTTCCCTTGTTCGACTTCGTGCCCCTACTTCGAAGAAGCCAATACAAAGTAGTTTTTTCCTTTTGATTCTAAGTGGTGCACCCTCGATGCCTGGATCATGAACTTTGTGCGCAGCACCCCTTCCTGAACAAAATCCTGGATCCGCCCGTGATTAACCTTCTGAAGAACAAACCTAAGCATAATAAAACTGTTGCAGAAGAGTATACACGTTTGTTTGAATGTCTCGTCTTAATATTTATACCTCTCATGCACCTTTCCGATGTTTTCCAGGTTTGRAGACCACAGACTATCTAATTAGGGACTTTACAAACATTATCAGGAGGGAGTGGAGCTTCATACAACGCCCTAAAAGAACCCTATTCTCTTTAGGCTTACGAGAAATATGGTAAAGACAAAGTGATCTTGACAGAAATTGCAAATTAATTGAAAACTTGTTAAAACAAAGAATAAGACATGTAGAGTTTTGTATAGAGTAGAGTAAGATTGTAAGCGACGACCCAACGGTGAGAGCGCTAGCTAGCACTCGCCTCTGACCAATGCGTGACAATGCGACCCGGTAGTGCTTGTTGGTTCTCTCCTGTGGCTTCGATGGTTTTCGGGGTTCTCCGGTTTCATTCCTCCCTCCGTAAAAATCAACTTCTAAATTTCAATTCAGTGAAATGTAGTGGCGCCCGCGCTATTTCCGTTTCGATTTTAGTGAACAAGTTGATGACGCAGGGGAGTAAGGTAAGGCGAATTTAAACKGCGTCCGGTTACTAAAAGTAGCTCAACCAGGAATTTACATGGCGCGCGCGTTATTAAGACGTCATTATCTCTTATTTATGCTCTTTTGGTACAATTTGATACACAARAATAAAAGACAAAGCTCGTTTCTTGTTAAACGGCCCGCTATGCCGAAAGATCGTGATTTCTTTCTTCAATCCTCGCTGGCTTTACGTTCCCACCTGCACGCAATTATGGGTTTTGTCAGTCCTCGTGTTCCTTCATTTTTTGTTCGCAGTTTTCGAATCTTGGTACCGCTTTTTAACAGGAGTGACGACCTGAAATCCTGAAATCCTGAAATCCTGAAATCCTGAAATCCTGAAATCCTGAAATCCTGAAATCCTGCGTTTACGGTTTACAATAAGAGAGCGCGAGTTTGGTATGGCTTACGCTTTGTCTCCTGCAAGTACAGGCATACTGAGTGCTGGCATTGTTGACCTGTTTGTCGAGGCAAAATTTTTGGAACACTGTAAGTCAATCGTCTTAGACACCGCTTACTGCTTCACTCGACCTGAATCTTTCAAAGACATTATTTCTCATTGTGGAACCACACTACCTTAGCTGTAGTTAGGGGTGATGTTAAAACAGGGCCTATAATCAGCTTAATTGCGCGGGCGCAATTTCCCATTTTTAGACCGCATGTCATTCCCTAGAGTATCATTTCTTTGTTTAACGGTTGCACACGAATTGCTGGCTAAGAATCAGCCGATAAAAGACTTTGAACCTCCAATAGACGGTTTTCTCAACATTGCGTGCACATCCAAATTTAAGGAACTCAACGGGCCACAATACCAGAACAGGAGCTTATAATGAGAATTATCATACATTTGTATGAATTTTTTTTCGATAAGAATTCATAATATCAACTATTCTCCTCTTTAAATATAAAACTACGGAAGACGCCCAACTGGATTTGGTCCATTCGCATCATGTACTTGAGATAACACTAACCCATCATCTCTGGACTTGTGTAATCCTTAGGTTTATGACTAAAAGGTTTAATCGAAGTACGTAATAAATTATCTCCTCTGTATTCCAAACTAATGATTACTATAATCGATGTATTGATGTAACGAAATAGTCCCAACAGACAACCACTATGGGAGGGTAGGGGAATCTTTTATATCGTCCCTTATCAAGAACCCTTTATTACCCAGCAGACTATGGCAGCAGGGACCTCTGATGTCACTCGCTCGCAGGCTTTCTCTTGCGAATAAACCTATTTCAAAAAAGCGTTGTGTGAATTTTTTTTAATGGGCGATCTAAACAGAATTTTTGTGCTTTTTTGTTTGGTTCAAATACGAAAAATCACATTTCAAACTCAAAGGTCATATTTTACTCGCTCTCATATTTCAGATCTCTCGGGGCACCCAAAAGACTAGAACTTAAAAACGCATAAATACATTATTGTGTACATGTAAATTTGTTTAAATCATAGTTAATAATCTATCAACTATGTTTAAATATAAATGTCTACACATTGAAAATAGCGTTTTAGCATCTATTAACGTTAATTTAAATAAATAAAGAATAGTATTAATAAATAAGTAAATAAAAGATAAGTAAACAAGGAATTATTATGTATACAGTGCCGGTGAGCTCCCGTTTTGAAAAAAAAGGTAGAACAGTTTTCCGTAACCATATTAACTGGACGGTTGAATATTACTGACGTAAGGAGCATCTCGCGGTCGCGCTGTTGTTGGTATAGTACAAACAGAGTCAAGTACGGAACGGCCGTTAAAGAAGTAACGCTCRTAGGCTATTCAAACCGTTTGACCTTTGGAATGAAAACGTCTGCACTACAACAGCGAACAGAGACAAAGAAGGAACACGGACACAAGATAAGTAAACAAGTATATAACGTTAATTTAATTCAAATAATCGAAAGGGGAAAAAACCTATAGAAATCCAACCACATTCGGTGTCCTAGTGCCCTTGGTCGGAAACACGTTATCGTGTTACAACTTGTGCTCGGCTAAATGTCGTCACGCAACTTGGAAAGAAGAGCTTCATGGCGTCGACTGTGACCCTAAAAACGTCTGCATAGGAGGCTAAGTAGATTTGCTTGGTTCAGTCATAATGCCGCTAAAACGTTCCATCACTACTGGCATTTGGCTTTTTCTCGTATCTCTTTCCCTTGATCTAGTCAAAGCCTTAAACGAGAGTCCTACACATCCGCTTATCATCGATCTTCACAGTGGTCGAATCTTTGGGCGAAGAGAAGCCGTACCACACGGTCGTAATGTTGAAATGTTCCTTGGTATTCCTTACGCTGAACCGCCGATAGACCAGTTAAGATTTGCTGCTCCTCGTCCAGTTAAGCCTTGGAACGGGACTCGTGATGCTACAGATTATGGACATCAGTGTATGAGGGGAGATGTAGTAGGTCTGAATGTTCAACCAGGTACGTGTGTATGTAGTATGTGTTTGTAGACTGAATTCTGTTAGACTGAGAACAGCTAGAATTACGATTATAAACGTTACTTTATTATTGGCTGATCGCTTAACTTTACCAAATTTCTAATGACGATGATATATATACACAGACTGGCATAAAACAACCCATTGTAACATAAAAAGCGTGACGTGACGTGTAGACGAAAAACAATTTTAGAAGTATGTGTGGATACATATGATTTKTAAACCATGATCTTTGTTGTTTACAAAGCTCGCTCAGTAAGAGAAACACATCCATCAGGAGGATTTAGGATGGAATCACATGGTTTTTTGACAATATACTGAATTACATCGATTCTTATGAAATAATTATATTAAATCTCATCTCATCTTCACTTCCGGTACTGTGTAGCTTTGAGGTTTATTTATACTGTAACTAGTGCCTCTTGGTGGTGGTGGCCAATGAAATGACGCCAAGTGATTTCAGCAATACTATAATACAACTCAAACGAAGAATCTTAAGGACCTAACACGGGCATGTGGTGTGAATTGAGGGGGG